CAGGGAAGTTTTATAAAAATACAATGTAGATGAAAACTGATGTCAAGGTCATGTGACCTTTACTTCAGGTGTCACCGGAAGTGTTAATTTTAGACCAAAATTATCATATGTCATGGGTTTGCAGTCCTTCAATTTTAAGGAGCGCGATCGCGCAGGCGCTCCTACTGCGCTCCTCGACTGTCTCGAAGGAGCGCCAAAAATAGCGCTCCTCAGAAATCCAAAAGAGGGCTCGTCAAACACGGGAAGTTTAAAAATAAGAAGTGATAAAAACGCGAAGGATTTTAAGTCTTAAGCTACACGTATTTTTCGTTGGTATAATGCCCAAACTCACGTTAATATGCCTCTGGACATCGCTAAAAATGAACGAACACCGAGCTCGTACGTACTGTATAAGATCGTGTGTGTACAGCGGTTGTATACTGTGCGTGCACAATCTGCATATCACATAGAGCTGCATGAAAACCACTGATCTCTATTTAAAGACATGTGGGCCCGTACGTGCGAGTGCAGCAATGACTGGTTCCCGCTGCGCCACGCACTAAGTCCCAATGAAGGCATGATGAAAATGCGGTAACCAGTCAATGTAATAGTCGCGCACGGTGCAATGCACTGCCGTACAGTCTTTTGCGTGCACGCCGGACGGAATAGACATCGTAAAAATGCCAAGAAAACAACGATTGAGAAGGCCGATCTATGCAAGCTTATTCACAGAACTTGATCTCTCTTGTCTGTGTATGTATTTCCAATGTTCATGAATTTATTTTGAGGAAGTTTTACTGGTATGTGAAGTGAAATGATGCAGCTCGTTTCACCGAAATCCTATACTGTAAAACGAGTCTCATTGCCGGGCCACCAGACACAGTGCATTACAAACGCTCGTACTAGTGCGAAGTTCAGACGTTGTTAGCCAGTTTCTCGTCGTGACTAGCATTGTGTACAGTGTTCTAGCCAAGCATCAAATAGCGCTAGCACCCGCTACGCTTTCGGAAATAAGCGCTATGCTTAAATCGCGCCGCTACGCTACCGCTACGCTATAAATTTTGGTTGCGAAAAAAAAATATCTGCCGTTTGTTCGTATACAAGCACAGCGACTTTGAGCATTGCGCACTGGCCGTACGACACAGCGAAAAATAAACAACGATCCCACCGCACGTACCCCGTACGATACCCCTACCGTGATGCTGCGCCACACGCATTCGCTATGATAGCAATAAGCACGTGCTGTTTTGTGCTGCGTAGATACAGCGCTCCGTACGGACGGACGTGGACCACACCATTTTGCGCTATCGGGTGTGCTTTCCTAAGGTCAATATTTACAAGCATTTCAACTGTTTTAAAATTATAAATAATACTTTTTATCAAGTCCGAAACATATAACTGTTTGAAAATAAGTCCTTCAACGTCGGAACATAATTTTCGTAAAGGATTTATTCGAGAAACGATGTCCAAAGAAAGGTTAAGCACCCCTACGATATCAATGGATCCGTCCCCAAAGATGGCCGCACGTGAAGAATTCTTCTCGAAGAATGTCGCTGTCGAAAATTTGGATTTTTGACTACACTACTCGTTGCTGATAATAACAGTTCAATAAGTTTGGTAGTAAAAACGGATCTGTTTGTTCTTAGGACAAAATCAATCAGCAAGTATTGCAACAAAACAAGTTTTTTAGCGCTCCACGAATGCGTGGCTTTCTCAAATGCTGAGGGAAATTTGGTCTCGTAGTTCGTCGGCGTAGCCGGTGTGGGCTGGCCCGCGCCGCGCCCGCACGCCGGGGCCGGCCGGGGCCGGGGCCGGCCGCGGCCGGTATAGGAAGCAATTCCCGGTGATTATTTCTCATCGTCATTATCTACAATTATATTTTTTAACATAACAAAAATGAGATTTCTCCTTCACATTGTGTTGTAGCATATTGAAATTGCAATCGCCGACGACTTTTTATGTCTGAGACCTCCATGGTTTTACAATTTCTCTCCCTGCCGACCGGATGGTTTTATTTACAAATTTAAAATCAGAACTACTGCTACTACGGCAGCGCTACACAACACAAGGCTTCTTGAAATATGAAATGTTCATGCGATTTGTTCTCACACTTAATATTGACAAAGTAAATCCCATTTTTTTTATAAAACATTGAGGAACTACTAAAAATGGTTAAACATCAGAAAGCATCGATCTTGGAACAACTTATACATTGTAAACGTAATCTAAAATTTGAAAACAGAAGAAACTTTACAGGAGCAAGAGTATTAATCATTGAAACAAATAAAACAAAATTTCTTATAATTTTAAACACTTCTGCTAAAAAAAAAATCAGGGGAAAGTGGCAGGGAATCGCCTCAGATTGCACCACAGAGCATCTAGAGTTCAAAATTTTCGGGGCCCTTAAGCGGGCCCCCGACCCCACGCCGTAAGGGCTTCGCGCTCCGCGCTCGCATAAGTCGCCGAACCAAAATTACCTCTACGCTATAATTTCACCCTGGCTAGAACACTGATTGTGTATATGGCATACTTGACCTGCATTTTCCAATATTTTTAAGATTATCGACGGCAGATATTTTCGATAAAACTTAAGGCAAGTTTGTGTCATTTTGAGGCCCTTTTTGTATAGCTTTCGTAGAGCAATTGAAATAGTTCAGGCTGAAAATTTCATATAATTTTAAAGAATCTGAAAGCCAATATTCAGTTGCTTTATGTGCCGTTTATTAACTCTCCATTTTCCAAGTATAATCCAGTGATGAACCAATTGACAACTGTATTAAAAAATAAAAGCCTAAGCAGTAGTCAAACCTTTTATTAATCTCCATTTAGTTAGTTTTTAAAAATAAATTTTACCTTGTCTAACAGTTACAATAACGAAAAAAGTAACGTAACTTGAGCATATGTTATTATGCAAAAAACAATAATAATGCAGCCCCTTGAATAAATCCTTATATTCAAAATAAAACAAAAACAATGGTTACCCGTCGTTTTACCGCTGTTTATCTGCATATTTTAAGGAGAGCGATTTGCTCTCCTCAAATATTTGAGGAGAGCGATTTATAGCTCTCCTGGATTTTCTTTAAATGAAGGACTGGGTTTGATACCTTATATTTTTATGATGCAACATTTGAAAAAAAATATGTTGCTCTGTTATTACCGTGCAGTTTATTGTTCTCATTTTATGTTGTCATGAGTATTTTTAATGAGGCAATTTTGAGGCCACCATATCTCTACAATGTAATAAGTACATAGTTCTTGTTCTTTGCACCTAGAATTCTATTGGTCTAAAAATGTGCCTCTTAGGATGTCAAGGTCATGCAAGTGTTAACTGTCAACCCTAATTACCATATCTCAGGAATTATAGGTAGTGTCAATCATTTGTAATTTGTGCATTGTGTTTGTTTGAAGCAACAGAAGTGCTCAAAATTTAAAGATGGGTGCTGAACAACTAACCTGATGCAGTTTCAGCTCAGTGAATGCAGTACATTGTATATCCCGAGAAAACAATATTCTAGGATCAGCAGAAAGTCCCCATAACTCAGTCTTAATTTCCTTAACAATAAGCAACTTCCCCATAACGCAGTGGCGGCCCGCCCCCAGTCACAAACACACACACATGGACAGCCAAGGCAGAAACAGTATGCCCCTTCGGCTTCACTGGCGGGACAAAAACACATACTACCACCTCACAAAACTGAACATGTACTCAATTCAGTTCGGTTATAAAATCTTAAAGTATTTTGGCAAATTTTGACCTTAAAATGCCTGTAATTTGATATGCCACGTCATGATGACGTCACCAAAGGTTGTCATGATGATTTTGGACAAGGGTAACTGTCTATTATACAAGGGTTCACCATCATTCCTGGAAAAGTTTGAAAGAAAATCAGATTTTGAATATTGATGCTTTTGTCTGTATTTATAGCATTTAAGCACAATCATGTGAAACATAACACTGATAATCCAATTGTATAATGTCCACTTAGAGTAGAACAGCCATGAAGGTACATGTACATGTACTTGACAACTTCTTTTGTTTTTATTTTAACATACAATGTGCAATGTACACTGTACGCTGAAACTTTTTCAGAGATAACAAAAAATCCACTCCATTATGGATTAATTTGGAATGTTGATGATTTGCATGTAGCCCTTGCATCCTCCACAATAATTCACATGAAGGCTATTTGGCACATATGACGGGTTGACAAAAAAAATACACTCTAAGGGGCCATTCAGAATTTTCAACGTTTTAAAATTTCGACTTTTTTTCCCAATTATTTTTACCCACCCACCCACCCCTAATTTCGATTAATAAAAAACTGAACATGTACATGTACATGCACTTGCATACTTATGTACATATACATGTACTTGAACATGAACATGTATACCCATGTACATGTGTTTCTATTTCAGTGACGGCTTGAAGTTGTCGGTCTTCCTCTTTTGCACTGGTGACCTTCAGTTTTCTTGTGTTTTGCCAGCTGATATGCTGTTGGGAATGACAGGTTGCAGTTTTGGAAGCCACAAAGATGACCGTGGTTTTGTCGTTTTCTGGATGATCGAGGTGGATGACATGACATACGAGGTTGTGCCTGTAACGTGAGGTAGCTGAGAAAAACATTCGCTAGTATAATGAAAAACCACCACCCTCTCATGCCACAGTGGGTTTATATACACGTACATGACATACATGTACAGTACATACAGGGGACGAAGTTGGAAAAGAAACACGCATCGCGATATCAGAAAGCTTGCGCGTAGTTCAGGCAAGTCAAAAGATCTATCTTTCTTTTTCTTTTTTTTATCTTTTTCCATGGAAAGTGAATTTCGATTTTCAATTATTTAGCTTGACCCACCCACCCACAATTTGGAAAAAAGATCGAAATTTTAAAACATTGAATATTCCGAATGGCCCCTAATATTGAGGAAATCAGTTCTAAACAGAAACATGGATCTCCACAAAAGACTTAAAGGTCAAATCTTGGTATCATTTAAGCATTTGTGAGTTGACTTACAGCGGCTTCATGTTTGATTGCTGTGTGGTCTCCTCTACTTGGTCTGATGGATCTCTTTTCTGTCGCTAGATGATGAAAAACATAGTGATCTGGAAAGTTCTCTATCTGTGAACATGAAAGAAAATCAAATTTTAGAACTTTACAAATGAAACAAAACCTAGAAATTAGCCACTAATCAAGAAGTGAAACTTAAAGAGAAGATACATTTGCAAACATAAAAAAAAACAAGTCAGGTGTGTTTACAAACACAAATGCCCCGCAACCGTGACTGTTCCCATGACATAACACCACTCTTTTAACATCAACTTACATGTACCTTGGTCACATGGAACATTCATTGACAGCATTAGTGTCTTCTGTAGTTTTTATATGAATTAATCCCTAATCCCAATAATCTCAGAATAAAGTATTTCTCAAGTTACCCCGCTGACAAGATTTCTATTGTTTTAGCCACTGTGAACTTGACCTTTGGCCCCAAATGCAAAAGGCTTCTTAAGATTACCAAGAACAATCCACAACCCAAATTGGAAGTTCATATGTTAAGTATTTCTCAAGTTATCGCGCTGACAAGATTTCTATTGTTTTAGCCACTGTGAACTTGACCCTTGACCTTTTGGCCCCAAATGCAATAGGCTTCTTAGGATTGCCAAGAACAATCCACAAACCAAATTTGAAGTTCACATGTAAAGTATTTCTCAAGTTATCGCGCTGACAAGATTTCTATTGTTTTAGCCACTGTGAACTTGACCTTTGGCCTTTTGGCCCCAAATGCAAAAGGCTTCTTAGGATTGCCAAGAACAATCCACAAACCAAATTTGAAGTTCACATGTAAAGTATTTCTCAAGTTATCGCGCTGACAAGATTTCTATTGTTTTAGCCACTGTGAACTTGACCTTTGGCCTTTTGGCCCCAAATGCAAAAGGCTTCCTAGGATTGCCAAGAACAATCCACAAACCAAATTTGAAGTTCACATGTAAAGTATTTCTCAAGTTATCGCGCTGACAAGATTTCTATTGTTTTAGCCACTGTGAACTTGACCTTTGGCCTTTTGGCCCCAAATGCAAAAGGCTTCTTAGGATTACCAAGAACAATCCACAAACCAAATTGGAAGTTCATATGTTAAGTATTTCTCAAGTTATCGCGCTGACAAGATTTCTATTGTTTTAGCCACTGTGAACTTGACCTTTGGCCTTTTGGCCCCAAATGCAAAAGGCTTCTTAGGATTACCAAGAACAATCCACAAACCAAATTGGAAGTTCATATGTTAAGTATTTCTCAAGTTATCGCGCTGACAAGATTTCTATTGTTTCAGCCACTGTGAACTTGACCTTTGGCCTTTTGGCCCCAAATGCAAAAGGCTTCTTAGGATTACCAAGAACAATCCACAAACCAAATTGGAAGTTCATATGTTAAGTACTTCTCAAGTTATCGCGCTGACAAGATTTATCCCGACACACACACCCACACACACACCCACACACCCAGACTTACGTTACATACCTTGTGTGGACATTGCTTTGTTTTCGTGTAGTTAAGAAAACTCGGTACAAGTGAAAACTCTTTTAACCCAATTTTTTTTTCTATGATTCCCTATAGTGTTTCTCTTCATTCTGCTACAGATAAACCTACCCAAAAATGCCTCTAAACACAAAACCTTATGTGGACACGGCTTAGTCCACATAAAGTTAACACAACCTGCATTATGTGGACCTCTTTTGTTCACAAGTCCACATAGGGTATGTAACACAAACTCACCCACCCAGACTTGTTTCACATACCTAGTGTGGACTTTCCTTTCTTTTCGTGTAGTTAAGGAACACCAGTGGAAAAACTCATTTTTCTCAAACTGTGAAAACTCTTACAACCCAATTTTTTTTCAATGATTCCCTTTAGTGTTTCTCTTCATTCTGCTACAGATAAACCTAACCCAAAAATGCCTCTAAACCTGTTTTCCAGAAATGGGGAAACACTGTGTGGACGTGGGCAAGTCCACACTTCGTCGCTGCTACCTACATTATGTGGACGTCTTTTGTTCGGAAGTCCACACTGCGTATGTAAGACAAGCTCACCAACACACACACGTTTTTTGCTATGCTTCCGAGGATTGGCTTTGTGTTTTCCTTTGTCCCTGTAATATAACATCTCCCATAGACTAAGCACACAAACCTGCGTTCGAGGACAATAGGCACCTTCCTTCGAGGATCAATGGCCCCTTTGTGCTCCTTTTGTTGTCTGTCCTCAGGCGTAATGCAATGCAGGAACACACCCACCCACTAACACACACACACACCCACCCACGGAAGGACAAGGCGGAAACAGTATGCCCCTTTGGCTTCGCCGCGGGGCATAAAAAATGATCGAATTATCACGAAATTTTTTATTGGACTGTTAGGGAATGACAGTCTAAAGCATTCTGTAAAAGCATGGCTCCTGGTGTGCTGACATTTTTAAGTGGTATTTTTGTGTCAATTTCCAACGGCCGACCAGCGTTGGAGAAAACTGGCTTTAAAAAAATTAATTCGAAAATAACCCTTTTATATAATTACAATAAACTGTAACCTTTTTCCTATTTTTATCATGATAAAGACCTCTAAAAATTAAAATAAGATGTAAATTTTAACAAACCGAATCAGAAAAAAATGTCAAATTAATGTCACTAAAGAAATCAAATAGTAAATACTGACAACGGCATACCAACAATGCAAACAATTTGACTTGTTTCTGAACAGTACAAAAGAAATTTATTGAGACATAAGAAAATATCTCCTGATTGAAGTGATATTGCAGTCTGTATGAACTAAAATTGTAGGGTTAAGCATGTTTAGAGGAAGAAGTCTTGGGTCTAGCCTCTTCAAACGCTGTCATTGAAGTTAATTTAAAGATAATACATGTAGTAAGGGTTTAATATTAAATTCCAGTGATTTACTAATAAACAATTGATTTGTTACTAATTTGCGAATTCTGAGGGTAGGACATTCATGAACCATGCCCAAAAAGGCAAAATACTCTAACAGAAAGGAGTTTGAAACTGAAAATTGTAATGGTGGACAAGGTTTGACTAAATATAAAGAAAAGGAAAATGGCAAATTTTACTAAAATAATGGTAGCAATTAAAAAAAAAATTATAATCTAATTATTACTATTTGTACTTCTCAATTGGAATGGATTATCTTGCGCAGGATTTAAAAGTCCCCCAGCAGCAATAAACAAGATTCTCACGGAAACACTCGTCAATCTGCCTATACCTTTGCACGCAGGTAACTTCCCTACAATGACACGTAAACATGACATGGAAAGCGTGAAATACGTGAACAAGATAAGGCCAAAAAAAAAATTCTCGGTCTCTGGTCAGCGCGCGCGTCGATTTTAATCATGCACGTCAACCTTTTTTTTTTTCAAATTAACATGGAAGCTACAACAGCGCCCTCTATTGCCACACCTCCTCAAATTTTTGTAACGAGGAGCACCAAGGAATGGGGAAATTGCACAAAAGCAAAATGATAAAGGGCACGAAGGCCAATTATGGAGGACAACAATGTATAATAAGGACACAAAAAAAGCAAAATAGTGCCCACCTTGTCTGTACAATTCAAGCTTAAAAAAAAACAAGTCAGGTGTGTTTACAAACACAAATGCCCCGCAACGATGACAGTTCCCATGACATAACACCAATCTTTTAACATCAACTTACATGTACCTTGGTCACATGGAACATTCATTGACAGCATTAGTGTCTTCTGTAGGTTTTATATGAATAAATCCCTAATCCCTATAATCTCAGAATAAATACATGATTTCTATTGTTTTAGCCACTGTGAACTTGACCCTTGACCTTTTGGCCCCAAATTCAATAGGCTTCTTAGGATTACCAAGAACAATCCACAAACCAAATTTGAAGTTCACATGTAAAGTATTTCTCAAGTTATCGCGCTGACAAGATTTTTTATTGTTTTAGCCACTGTGAACTTGACCCTTGACCTTTTGGCCCCAAATGCAATAGGCTTTTTAGGATTGCCAAGAACAATCCACAAACCAAATTTGAAGTTCACATGTAAAGTATTTCTCAAGTTATCGCGCTGACAAGATTTCTATTGTTTTAGCCACTGTGAACTTGACCTTAGGCCTTTTGGCCCCAAATGCAAAAGGCTTCTTAGGATTACCAAGAACAATCCACAAACCAAATTGGAAGTTCATATGTTAAGTATTTCTCAAGTTATCGCGCTGACAAGATTTCTATTGTTTTAGCCACTGTGAACTTGACCTTTGGCCTTTTGGCCCCAAATGCAAAAGGCTTCTTAGGATTACCAAGAACAATCCACAAACCAAATTTGAAGTTCATATGTTAAGTATTTCTCAAGTTATCGCGCTGACAAGATTTCTATTGTTTTAGCCACTGTGAACTTGACCTTTGGCCTTTTGGCCCCAAATGCAAAAGGCTTCTTAGGATTACCAAGAACAATCCACAAACCAAATTTGAAGTTCATATGTTAAGTATTTCTCAAGTTATCGCGCTGACAAGATTGTCCGGACACACACACCCACCCACCCATCCACCCACACACACCCACCCACCCACGGAAGGACGAGGCGGAAACAGTATGCCCCTTCGGCTTCGCCGCGGGGCATAAAAAACACGTCGCTACTTCAATTCCGGAACTTTGGTTTAACCAGCATGACCAGAGACCGATTTTTTTTTTTTTTTGGCCTAAACCTATCTTTCATTGCAAAAAATATAAGCTCGGTTCTTACAAAATTGAAAAATTACAATAATTAATGGAGTATTATTATAGCCAAGGGAAAATCGCCCAAAAAATCTGAATTATGAGAGATAAAGCAGAATTCTGGGGTTGGTTTTTTGCGAGCACAAAGTTCATGCGCGTATTTGCATAGTGACATCACCGCATCTTCTCGCGTGGTTTCGGATTACAATTATAATAATTAATGTGCGCATGCTCAGACTAAGTTTCCAAGGGTGTCATATTTCATTAACGTATGTGGTATGCAGAGGTCCGGCGAAGATTTTTGCAAATCTTTCCGTGCAACTAGAGGCTTTTGTTTACAATACACTGAGCGACATTTTGTATGGGCAGCCACATGCTCAATAAATTCAACCGTAGTTGGCAGAAGCTTAATTTACACCCCATAGTTCTAAGTGACAAGTTCAGAATGTAAGAGGGAGATATCTTATTGACTTTTTGGTAGTTGGTGTTGATTATTCAGTGTTTTGATAGTTACACAGCATTTTATTTATAGTTTGTTGATTATTCTTTGTGTTTGCCCTAATGGCCAACCATAGTCAAAGGAAAGTCACAACAACAAAGACACAACAACATCATTCAAGCATGCTAATTTTTAGTACCTTGGACAATGTAAAGCTGGAAATTCACGTGGGCACTGACGCCACAGGTACAACATTTTGACGCCGGTAAAAGTTTTGGAATTTTAAAATAATTTGTTGATAGGCGTGTACCGCATCAGACAAGGCTAGGCCAAGGCTGAGCCAGAGCCATTTTTTCCTGAATTCAAAATGGCAGCCTCAAACAAGGTGTGTGCAACAAGGATGTTTCCGGAATTGAAGTTGAAATTTCTCTTTTCTTCCCAAAGGTATGTGAACCTACGGAAGAGGGATAGTGCCACTCAATGAGTGTGAATATATTTATTTAGTGCATGTGAAAATATTTTTTTTGTACAGCGGCTGCCACTTATTATGTGGCGGCCGCTACTTATTATCTGGCAGCCGCCAGATAATAAAAAAAATATTCTCACACACTATACAAAAAAATATATTCACACTTTTTTATGTGGGGGCCACCACTGATTATAAGTGTAAATATGGTTTTTTGTGCGTGTGAAAATTTGTGATATCGGTACTTTGGACGTACTTTTAAAATCACAACACAAAGAGCTTAAATTTTGAAAATTATTTTGTGGTCTCTCCATCACTCAAGGTAAACTTTTTAATCATTGTCACTTGAATTTGTGGAGTAGTTGAGCTGAAGGCAGCCTGAATGATGTTTACTATGCGGAACTAGGAAAACGACTGTACTATCAGAATGTCATTTTTGATTGTCATTAAGTCAGCTGTTATTAAAGCTCAGGTGGACTCCCTTTCCTCCCTACGTTACTTCGTCCAACCTGGGCTACTGTTTTGGTGAGTCTTTTATTTTTTTTTAACATGTTTAACATTAGGCCTAGGCCTATATAGGCATGATAGGAAAGGGGTCCTATTACTATTGTGAATATCTTACCTCTCCAAAGTTTATGTATCCATAACTTGCTGCCAGGTTATCAGCAACTTCCGGCCCTCCTTCAATGTTAGATATAAACTCGTTGGTGAAGGTGGAATGTACGCCTGTCCCTCCGAAATGCAGCAGAAGCAATACGGAAGTTATTAGATGTGTATTCATCATGGTCCCACTTCCGGCCGGAATCTCACACCAGTCTACACAGATGATGAGACAGTACAGTTATAATCAGTGTGTTCTCGTCACTCCGTCCTACTCAAGATCCCTGAAGGATGTTTCAGGAGGAATTATGACTAACCAAGTACTTAAAGTAGCCTACCAACTCAAGTCAGGCTAAAGTAAACCACAAAAAAAAGTCAGAAACACGGGCAAAACAACAACAAAATCTTGCCACCAAAGCGTGAGACAATGGAAGATTAACAAATCTCACCTTACAAAATCCCAGATTATCACTGACATTCACCGTAGCCAATTATTGTAGGACACACTGACGTGAATGCAGTGCTACTGCTAGTTTACTTCTTTACCTACGCACAGCATTTTTTTACACAATAAAACCAAAAAACCAAAGATCCTACGATAATGACGATCTTGATACATCGACATGATCGATAAAAAACTTCAGGCTTCACTGGTTTCCTACGCGGACCTCCATCAAATCATGTCAGTGGAGTACCGTAATGGATATGGGTACCAGTTTTTACAACAAAAGTTTGGCACACTGCGCGCTTGTGGCACAGCTAGACTGGTTTCCTGTCCTCAATGCTCCATCAATTGTCCTTCGGGGGTCCACTGTACTAATTCAAGCCCCATTGAAAACAGTGTAAAATCAACAAAGTTCAGGGCCAAGTAACATGCAAGCCAACATCACTGGGGTTTCTGAAACAAAAATTAAATTATTGTCTTGTCTTTCATCTTTTCATTTCTTTTCAATTTTACGTACATTAGCCAATTACATTTTTAAATATTCACACCCAAATAAAATCACCTCCCGAAAAGTGATAGTTCCCAAGCCTGAATGTAGCCATTTGAAGAGTGGCACCCTTCCACTTTCACAGGGTATATTTAAACAATTCCACCGTTTTTAAAGCCAAACGGTCTCCGTTTTCAAAAGAAATTGTGGGGGGGGGCACTTTTTATGCTAATCAGCTGGCGTAGAAATTCTCGCTTGAATTAGTTCAGTGCACCCTCGGGGGTGCAGACCAGTAAGTAAAGCATAGACCCCAATGATAAATGCCCCCACTTCAGAAATTCAGGAAAAATACTCAAACAACTCCCCAAGGTGTTCGAAACACACATCAAATTAAAGCTTATTTCATCATTTTTCATTTTCTTTTTAATGTTTTGGGGTAATCTCATAACTTTTGGGAGGAAATTCCATCCGAAGAACATCACCCCTTCAAAATCCTCAAAGCCCATTGCCATTTAAAAAACGGTGCATACACTCCCGAAATTGCAAAATAGAGCGATTTTAGGGGCCAATTTCATCCAAATTGCACAGAAATACAAGCTCACGGTCCTGTGCAAGGCTTCCACCCTTATTTTTTTACAAACCCTCAAGTTCATGGCCCACAATTTACTGAAGACTTTGAGGGCATGTAAATCGTGATAAGTTGGCCGGCGTAGGCAATTTCGGACCAGTTGGACCCTTCGTACGTTCGTGCAGCCGGCAAGGCCTAAACGCCCCCCCCCCCAACAAAAACAAATAATTTGGGGACTGGCACTGATATGTAATAGAGATCAGTGGGAACCGGTAGCTAGCTCCCATTTAAAGCCATTGATTGGATCACCTCTGCGCGCGCGCAGCATGGTTGTTTATTTTTGAACATACTCAGCCTTGCATGGACGATAGATTGTTCAACACACGGTTATAAAAAAAAAGGATCCGTCTTACCAAAACAAATACGTAAATTCGCCGGTGTCTCCATGAATGCAACTTTCATGCATCCCAGAAAACACATAATGCTGTGATAACATTTTTGAACAGTCGTAACAATGTTATATATAAAACATTCAAAAATAATATTTTAATGGCTATATCATATACAAGAACATTTTAATTACGTTATTTAAATCCCTCAGATTTGACGTTCTATCAGGTACTGAATCGAGCGATATTATCAAAACGTTATTACCAAATGTTTTTAACAAGATTTATAGAGAAACTATCATTATATATACAAAAAAACTCAAAATGCCTCAAATTTATCAGGTATGTCAATATGATATTATTAGAACGTTATTACCAAATGTTTTAAACAAGATTTTTACGGAGGAAATATGATATATACAAACACTTTTAATAACGTGATTTAAATGCCTCAAATTTAACGTTTTATCCAATATGTTGACAGGAGCGGATCCAGGATTTTCCAAGGGGGGATTTTCGTGGTGCGAGTACTAATGCAAGCGCGAAGCCCTTACGGCGTGGGGTCCGGGGCCCGCTGAAGGGCCCGAACAAATTTTGGATTCTAGATGCTCTGTGCTGCAATCTGAGGTGCTTCCTGGCCATTTTATCCTGATTTTTTTTTTAGCAGAAGTTTGTAAAATTATAAGGAGAAATTTTGTTTCATTTGTTTCAAAATGCATATATACTCTTGCTCTAAGGACACAAACATAATCACTTCTATGAGTTTCTTGCTTTCGCTTGTCTGCTGATGACTTTAGATCTGTACTTTGAAGGTACAGTCCATCATTTGCAGCTATCCAAAAAGCAACTGACGTAATTATTGTTGAAAAGCATACTTGGTTTAAAGAAAGTAATGGGACTAAATTCTCCGTGAAATTATTCTTTCTGGCAAGCTGTCGTTTAATTTCGGTTTGTTTGTTTTGTTTGTTATTTTTTATTCTGCGAAGTGTGCGCAAGCGTTGACACGACGCACATTGTGCGCGGCTGCTATTATAACTCCACCAATAATATACATGTAATATACATTAAATGCGTCGCCGCATTTTTTTGTCTCGTCGCTCTGTCTCGTCGATAAACCCGTCGCTTTTTAAAAGTATGAGCCCCAATAAAAAAATGTGCAACTAATCTTAGCAGGAAACGGCGGTAACTTTGTCTCCCCCTATTTTTTTCTTCTCTTTCAGAGTCTCTCTCCCTCTTCATATCGTGGTTTTTATTTTGTTTATTTTTTTTTAACTTATTTAATTAATTTTTTTTTTAAGGAAAAGGGGGGGGGCGTGCGCCCCCACGCCCCCTGGATCCGCCCCTGGTTGAAGCGATATTTCAAAACGTTATTACCAAATGTTTAAAACAAGGTTTATGGAGGAAATGTGATATAATGTGAACAATCAAAATTTAATCACGTTATTCAAATCCCTCAGATTTGACGTTTTTATCAGGTATGTAAAAATGATATTATCAAAATGTGTTTACCAAATGTTTTACATAAGATTTACCCAGCTAACACATCGATGTTTAATAACGTGGTATTATGTCTAATATGCTGTCATGATATTTAACAATATGGTCTTAGAAACAATAATACTGCGACTTGCCTCAAAAGTGCGTGGAACATTATATCTAACGTTGTGAAATGGAATGTTTCGAAAACACAATAATAACATCATCAATACCATGTCGCTATAACATTATAAAATAACATCAGGACCTTATTTTCGGATGTTAAAATGTAAAAATTACGCTTTCAGATCATGTCGCCATAACAACGTTTTGTCAGAAATAACATCACTAAGACCATTATCGAAATAACAATATTACACAACATTAAGGCCTTAACTTTAAGATAATGTAACGCGCACATTGTGTCTGGCAAGGCATGAAAACACAAATCATAACATCACCAAGTATGAGATAACATTAAGGCCTTAACATTCGATGCTGTGGGCAGGTCAGGGTTCCGACAGTACTACTGATGTCCGAAGAAATTCACTGGGATGGTAGAGGCACTACACTGGAATGATGGCCGAAGTCAGAGATGTAGGTGAAACATCGGACACCTTCACTGCGACAAATGGTGTGTACAGTAAGGGTGTGTGCTGGCGCCCACACTGTTCTCCATCTTTTTGTAGGCAATGCTGGAAGAGGCTTTCCGTGATCTTGATTTCGATCATGGATTTTTTTTTCAGTCCCCCCCAGGCGCGGTGCAAAAAAATTGCAGTAGCAGATGTCAGAAGGTGACGTCACATGCGAACGGTCCTCCCCCCCATTAGTCGTGAAAAGATGACATTTAAATAACGAAAGGTTTGCGGAAACACCATGTGCGAATAATTTCTCAACTAAGAGAATGGTTTTGAAAAGAACCAGAGGTAAAAACTCGTTTCTACGTCTGGTTCTTTTCAGAATCATTCTCTTAGTTGAGAAATTATTCGCACATGGTGTTTCCGCAAACCTTTCATTATTTAGAATCTCCACCATGCAAATCCTCAAATCTTATTGAAGATGACATTTTGTAATACAGTGTGCACGATGACAGGATGTTGTCAGCGCTCCACATTGATGTAACGCTGTAGCAAGTTGCATCAACATTTTAATTTCATTATTCTGTTCCCATGTTTAAAGTTTAAAATTATGTTGCGGGATCCTACTGGGCTCTTGTCCGCTAAGTCACGCAAAACGCAAGAAAAGGGGACACACAGACGGGATTTTTTAACTCTGAAGGAAGATCTAATTTATTTCGCCAAGCGGACTCTAGTCTGCGGTCAACTAGCCGCACCGCTACCAGAACATTACTGCAACTAACCTAGACTTAATGACAAGTCGTTAGATAGGTGTATTTTGTCCTTGAACTTCAGTCGAACTCCATCGGCAAGGCTGGTATAAAACTACATGTAGTACGTATATGCTTGATTTACTTGAATCGTGCATGTCCTATAATGATTTTTGTAATGTTACACAACACAAAGTGCAAACCCTCGAAGTTATTAAAATGATCCTCCGTGGCGGCCTATAATACACTATGAAATCTGAACCAATCAGAATGCTCGCATAGAATTCGCTAGTGATTCAAAATACTCCCATATAGATATATGTTGTATACAAAATTGAAAAAGTATTCGCCAAGTCGGTATAATTGAATATCAATATTCAGCATCATTTGGTCTTTGAACCAGACTACCGCATTGCATGCATGCAGCGATATATATTTTGCGTGCGTGGAGCCATTATTACCCACTTTAAGCAACCTATACATGTATTTATAGAACCTATTTCCGGAGCGTGCGGTAGCCAGACCCAAAACCAGGTCAGCCCAGCCACCTGTGGCCCTACTTGCCAACAATGGTACAGTGGTCTCTTCTCCTGTGGTGCACACTGCATCGGCGGACACCCGGCCTTTGATGCTCCATGCATCAATGTACTCCCTGTACCTTCGGCCACGTCTTCTTTGATGCGTCCTGCATCGCCGGATCCTGCCGTCTGTTGGCTTACCGTTCTTGTCCCTGTCACCTGCACCAGCGGTCCGAAAGTGAAAGTCAATGCCGTTGCTTGCTCCAGCAGGGCTGCCGTCGCCTGAACATGAAGGTCAGTGTCTTGTGGTCGATTGTCCGTGGTCTGAGTTGGTCCCAGCAGTACGGTGGTCTATGAGTTCGGCGTGCTCCGGCTGATTGGAATGTACCGGTGGAG